AAAGTGAACATGCAAACGTTGGTTCTGCTTCTGGAGCCAAAAGGTGAAACCCAATGAGACGAGCCTCAGAACCGGTTCTGATTGGACCTCAGGGTGAAGTCTAGTTTAAAGAGACACATGAAGATCCACATGGAAGACCAACCTTATCTGTTGGTGGGGGAAAAAAAATCTACTTTAAAGTCATCTTTGAACAATCTCATGAGAATGCACAAAAGTGAAAACCTTTAGGTTGTGATGTTTGTGGAAAAAGATTTTCCTCAAAGTTAAAGATATACATGAGAATCAGGGCTGGAGATTTATTGTACCATCATATATAGTAATAAATATCTTAGTACAGGAATTACAATGTTTTTCTTTAATGATGTTTAAACCTTGTCCATCCCCCCAAAAACCTGTCTGTGTTATTGGGACTGTTAGTTTTACTATTTTCTCCACTGTTTGTTCAATGAAAACATCAATGAATATTCATTTGAATATATGATTTAGTGTAGTTACTGTTCCTATCTAAGGAAACCCAGCAGGTTGCATCAAGTCATTGACCTGCAGCATCAAGAGAAAACGGCGTCCATCTCTTGTTTCGTGTCGTCGTGGTTTTCTGGCAGGTGGAGCTTCTCTGGAGAGAAAAATAACTGGAAAAAATAACAGTTGGAATAACAGAGCTTTATGTCTGATAATTGAATTATCATACAAGAATGTCTGATGACTCATTAAAGAATGTGACTGTTACACTGAGAGGTGTGGAAAGAAGAATTCAGTCAAACTTTGGCTGTTCGGCTATCAAAGCTTATTTATTGAATCACTTGCACCAAACCAGCTTTCAAAATGGCAGCCCTTACATCCAACAGTCCATCTATTTCTACAAAAGAGCTGGGTTTTGTACCTTGAGGACACATTCACAAGGTAGCAAACATTTCACAAAGACTCACTGAGACACTCTAGAATTCAAAATGTAAAAAAAAAACTTGCTGTTTCTTAACAGTGGCATTAAGTAACATGACAGTGACCACATTTCTGGACCCTCAGTTCAAAACTCTTGGCTCTCGGCTAAAAGCAGTTCAATGTTCTTAAGCTACTCGATTCATGAGATGCAGGAGAAGACTCTTGAGAGTTATTTATTTCGTAATTAACTTTTGACAGTATTGCTGCATTTCATCTGCTGGTATCGTATATAATTATGTGTAATGACTTTTTAAACTACTTACAGGTGAGCTGTGGTCTCTGCTGGATGCAACAGTGGACCAGAAGAGAAGTAGCTCCAGTGCAGCAGAGGCTGATGTGGAAGGACAGTAATACCTCACCAGAAATCCACAGGAGGATTTCAGGTGAGGAAATCAATCCTCCTGTGAAATCAGGAGGATTGATATCATACTTGCTGCAGCATCCAGAAAAAATAGAATTGGTTCTAACTTTGGCACACGGCTCTGCATCAGGGCCTGGACTTAAAGCTAAGAGTTTCCCTTTTGATCATTATAATTAAATCAAGCAGGAAAAGAGAGAAACTTTTCATGCACTGTTGAAATGAACTCAGGATGCTAAACAGCTGAGCTTTAGAAAACCATTGACTAGTAAAGCTACTTGGATTAGCTACTCAACACTACAGTAGCTGTAAGCTCTGATCTAAAACAGTAACACTGACCAATACCAAACAGCAGCAAATACATATGTAACAATACAAGATGTTCAGAACGATTAATACAGCAAGTACAACCTGTGCAGTTATCCACAAAACATCCACATCGAATCGAAACATCCTCCAGTGAAGTATAGATACAGTCCTTACAAGCTGAAAGGACACGGAGTGATCCATCACAGTAAACTGGAAGTTGTTCACAAACCAACATAACATGAGGTACCAGTTATAATAATTTATAATATAGCAAAATAAATAACAGTAGGGCAAATGGAGGATGTTACAGAGAGAGTACAGGAGGAGCTAGTAGAGACTAGAATCTACAGGAAGACTCACTGAGGAGCCAAACGACCTGAATGAAAATCCGGGGTAAAGAGTCTGAGTGAAGGTGGTGTTGATGGTGTGGAGGTGGACCAGGGAGTCAGAGGAGACTCTGTAGAAGGACAGAGTGCCAGCAGGACAGTCCACGTACACCGCTACTCTGTGAGTGATGGGAGAGGAGGAGCAGGAGGAGGAAGAGGAGGAGATGGATGTTCCTGTCTTGTTGTGCCAGACGGAGTAACGGCCGATGTCGGCGCAGTCCAAACTCCAGGACTGATCGTTCCTTCCAAACACAATGTCGTCAACATTACCTTTCCTTT